GTAGTTGTGTTTATATAAGCACTTGATTGCTGACAGATGTTTTAAAAGCTTTAGTCCTCCTCCATCTGCTATAATGCTGTCACTGCAAAAGAGCTAACAGGAGTAGATCTGACTAGATAAATTTGATTCTGTTTAACGTCAGTGCATGTTTACTTGTATCCAAAATAAATTTGACATATGCTGAAAGGCTTTAAGAAGCAGGACCAAACAGAGAGAGAATAGTTTATGCAGAAAGAATATGAAGACAGGTAGTTGTTTTTTCTAAAGGAAAAATACAGAAGAAATTGATTGTCTCACAAATCTTTGGTCCAAAGGCAGCATTGTATTTTTCTAGATTAAGTACTTTTAGATAGTAAATAGAAAATTTATTAGGTGGAAGTTCAGGCATGGAATAAAAAAAATAATGAAGAAGAAAAGCAACCTTTTAAAAACTCTTTCTACTTTTGTTCTTTGGGTTGTTAAGGTCAGTATAACTTTTTTAAAAATTTGATGAGCTATCTGTATTTTTGATGAGTTTATTAAACAAATCTCCACATAAATATTTAGATATTGATGTTTTAGATTTTAAGACTTCTAATTTAAAAAATCTACATTAATAAAAAAAGGGTATTGGGTAAGTATTACAGTTTAATCCCTTTAATATCTGGGTATAATAGAGACCAAGATATAACCCTAAAAGAATTGCTACTTTTATTCCATTGTTATAAAAAATGAAATGACTTTATTTTAAAAGCCAATTTTTTTTTTTTTTTTACAAGCATCCGTTTGTTACTGTCACTTCTAATAAACCAGTCAGAGAGTTGATTGCAGAGGCAAAGGCTGAAGTAACAGAAGAAGTTGAAGATGGTAAAGATGAAGATGAAGAGGAGGAAACAGAAAATTCTCTGGTCAGTTAAAGTATAAATTTATAGATATGGGTGCTTATTTTAATTACATTTTGTCTATGAAAAACTTTCTGGCACACTAATTATTTTTGCAACATTTTTAATTTGTACTAAGAATAAATTTTTTTTTTTTCTTCCAAGTATAGCATGCCTTCAGTGCAAAATACAGAAGTCAGAATTTATAAAAGTCAGATGATCTTAAGCTTCTTCAGGACAGAATAATAAAGAATATTATGTGCATGTATGGTTGTTATGTGTGTACATGTGGATATGTAAGGCGAGAAGGTTGCTTAAACCAGGAGTGGACAAACTGTGGCTCGAGAGCTGAAGCCTCAAGCCCTGTCGGGCGCCTCCCATGGGGCTGAAGCCCCAAGCCCCGGCAGGTACGCCCCAGCTCTCGGACTTCTGAAGATGGCCATATACAACTTAGAGGGTCAGTAAGTTTGGCCACCTCTGGTTTAAACAGTCAAAGACTTTTTGTAAAATAATACACAAATATTTAAATTCAGGCAAATATGTAAATGTATTAATGTGTAAGTGAACTGTGTATTTGGTATAATAACTAACTCTTGTATGGGTGAAGGTATGACATTTATGTTATAAATTAAGTTTCCTGTGCATTTATAACTCGACTATTTTAAAAAAACAAAAATCTGTCTACAGGACAAACTCTCTAGTGGAGTTAGTTTGTGAGAAATTTAGATTTATAAGGATACTTCTGCCCGTCAAATTCAGTCTCTTAAATGGAAATGAAACCGTAGCTTTAGTACGATAATATACTAATATCTTGTGAATGAAATAGATTCATTTACATTATTTATATGTATCCTATTTAAAAACACATTTGACTTCCAATATACTGAGATCCTAAAATACTTTCATATTTAGAATTATTTTAGATGCATTTTAGCACAAAGAGTGTGTTACTACATGCTTTCTTAGGCAAAAAACTCGCATTGTGGTTTGCCTTAGTAGAAAGAGCAGGATCAGGCCAATATTTGATACAGTAGCTAGGCATAATTTACATAACATTTTAAATTATATACTGTAATCTCCTAATGGCAAATTGTAACAGTTTCATTCACAGATTATGGGGTTCTAGTAGTAAATATAGACAAAGATGTATCATTATCGCTCCGAAGAGTGAAAGAATAATTATGATTTGAGATAATGGTTCATTAATATATTTGTCTGTATCTGTCTTTGTAGAAATATAATAATATTAATTCACAGTCTAGCAACAACAATTGCTAGAGTTATGTTCACATAATTGTTTTGATTATAACTTCTTGTTACCATCCATTCATAGCTGCTAAAAACTTTTACCTTTTTAACTAAAATTTCTCATGCTTGGTCTCTGCCTGAAGGTGAACTTTTGAAGTTCGTGTAAAAATTGTTCAGCCATTTTTGAGTGAGAAGAGGTTAAAAAATACACTTGTCCAATTTTTATATCTATATACTGAGATTATAATATAATATAGCTATATATTTAAAAAACAAAGAAAATGTTACAACCTTCTTAAACATTTGCAAGTTAAAATTTGGCATGGAAATAACCCTCCTGGAGACGTAGTGCCATTGTTGAAAAGAAATTGTTTTTTTTCACATGTGAGTGGAACAAAGCTGGCTACAAAGCAAAAAACCTAATCAGATGTATTGCTGCTAATTAGTTGGGACCTCTGGGATGAGATCCTCATCCCCACTCCAGCCTTATTATTCTAAGTAAAAGGGCCATGAAAGCCCCACTTCTGGCTATGGGAGGATTTCCCTGGTACAGGCATGGTGAAAACAGCCATGAGACTGCTTTCTGACTATCCCCTCACAAGCCCTGGCAAAGGGAACGTACTGGGGGCATCTTGGGGCAGCACTCAGATTTGTGGGCAATGCTGTGGTCCATCGGGCAGCCTGGGGAAGCTGCGGTAACTTAGACGTGCCCCCAGGTGTGTTTAATTTATGCTCAGGTCCTCTCCAGTCCCTTGAGTAGCCCAGGATCGGGGGGCAAAAAGGTGGCATAAGGCCAAGATTTTTTGTTGTGCCTCTTAGATGTGCACACAGAATCTCACCTCTGTGGCCAGAAGAACCATATAGGGTGTAAAGTGGTGGAGGAAGGGCTTATGAGGACTTTACAAGGTGTGTGGGTGCTGAGGCAAAGGATGTCCAGTGTCCCTCAGGGACTGAGAAAGGGCTCCTGTGAAATTGTAAATTGGTCAGAAGGGCTTTTTTACAGATGTAATAGTTCTGTGATTATGTCTTGTCAAATAGTTTGAGATAATGGAATTTATTTTTCCTGGAAACCAAGCTACATACGTGTAGTATCTTTTCATATACATATCTCTGTGTGCAAGAAATTTTTGTATAATTGTTTTCTACATAAATTAGAAAATAGTAATTTTTTTCTTTTTTAAATACATTTTTAGCAATTACCAACAAACAAGCGTGCCTCCTCTGACCTTAGTATTGCCAGCTCTGAAGAAGATAAACTTTCACAGAATGCCTCGATTCTGGAATCTGTTTCTGAGAAAACAGAAAATAATGCTGCTGAGGAGAAGAACATCAGTGTATTTCCAGATGATAAAACAACTGCTAATGAACCCAAGACAATTAAAGATGTGGAAATTATTGACAGTGTGTCTGATACCACTCCTGGAGATATTGTAAATGTGCAGAATGGGTCAGTATTAATTGAGGAAGATGAGCCAGAGAAAACATCAGGAGTTGAAGAGAATACTGGAAAAGCAGAAGTAGTAAATGAAGACACTGGATCACAGACAGAAAGAAAAGAAGCTGATACAGTGACAGCATTAGAAACAAACGATAAACACAGTCTGAAAACAGAGGAAAGAAGTGCCATAGAAAATGAAGAGACAGATGAAAATAAACTGAAAATAGCACCTGAAATTGAAGATGCCAGTATTCAAACTATAGAAGTGATATCTAAAGAGACTGGAGAGAAAGAGGAGAAAGAAAGTGGAACAGATAGCCAGGAAAATAAGAGTGAAGGAACAACGACAGAACAAATTACAGAGCAAAAGGATGATGGTAAATCTGAAGAAGTTCAGAAAGATGAGATGACAGGCAGCACTAATGAAACTCTGGTTAAAGGTGCAGAGAAAATGGCTGACACAGAGCAGGAGCCAATAAAAAATGGAGCTGACAATGCTCAAGAGACAGGCAGCACTAGTGAAAGACAGATCAGTAGTGGAGATAAAATACCCGGGACAGTCCAGAAGCTAATGGAAAGTAGAACTGAGCATGTTCACGAGACAAGCAGCTTTGAAGAAACTCAGATTAAAAGTGGAGATGAAGTGACTGATACAGATCAGAAATTAGTTGAAAGTGAAAATGAAGATGTTCATAAGACAAGCAGCATAGAGGAAACTGAGGTCAAGGATTCAGGAAAAGTGGGTGATATAGACCAGAAGCCAATACAGAGCAAGACTGAGAATATTCATGAGACAAATAGCACTGAGGAAATTCAAGTCGAAAGTGTGGGTAAAGTGATTGAGCCTGACCAAAATTCAAAAACAAATGAACCCGAGGATACCCACGAGAACAACATTCAGATAAATGCAGAGCATTCAGAAGTTCCGTGTGATGCACCACTTAAGAACAAGCTTCAAGATCCTGCAGCTGAACAACCTAATGATTCTGAACTCACTCCAATACCCATTATTAGTGTTAGCACCGAAGAAAATGAGGAAAAAGTTAAAATGGGTAATCAAGCCAGTGCTGAAACATTACAGCAGCTAGAACCTGAGACACTAAAGGAAAATGATACAGAATCAGGCACTGGTTCCACAGCTGATAATAATAGCATTGATTTGAACTTGTCCATCTCAAGCTTCCTCACTAAAAACAAGGACACTGGATCAATATCTTTACAAGTAAGTGTAGACAATTAGTTATAATTTTTTATGTAAAATCTTATATAGTAGGACCCTAAGACTTTCTTGGGGAGTTAATAATGCCGAGAAAATCAACCAATCAGAAACTAGCTTAGTAATATTGAATCTGTACATTTATAGGAACCATTTTGCTAGGATTGAAGATTGCAAATAGTCAAACACCAGTTGCATCTAAAACTGTTTTCAAAGAAAATATTGGAGTACATGGAATAATGTTGTAACTCTGTGTACATGTGATTAGGCAGCAATTGCAAATGGCCACAAAACTGCCACACATTTCTCTAAATCGTTGTAAAACTATGTTCCAAAATCTAAACTATCAGATCAAAAAATTGTTAATCATTACAGTTGTGAAGATAACCTTCAAAATGTGAACCAATACATTGAGACAGGAAATTCCAAAGAGCCGAAAACTACAGGATGTTTAAGAGGAAGATTTGTCTTGTGGTTAAGGCTTGGGACTAGAACTCAAGATTTCAAGTTCAATTCCTGGCTTTATACATAATTCCTGTTGACCTGGGTAAATCCCTTAACCTCTCCCTGTCATATCTCAGTCTTCTCCATGTATAACTTCTCTCTAACCCATTGTTTGTCCTGACTATTTAGACCAGCGTTTTTCAAAGTTCGGGTCACGACACAATACTGGGTTGCAGCATGTAAGGCACTGGGTCGCTCTGGTCAGCACCGCCAACTGAGACATTAAAAGTCCCGTCGGCGGTACTGCCCAGCTAAGGCAGGCTAGTGCCTACCTGTTCCGACACTGCGCCGCACCCAAGAAGCGGCCCACAGCAGGTTCGGCTCAAAGGCAGGGGGGCCACGGGGCTTCACGCACTGCCCCTGCCCCGAGCACCAGCTCCGCACTCCCATTGGCCGGTTCCCAACCAATGGGAGCTTGGGGGGCGGTGCCGGGGGGCAAGAGCCGCGCAGAGCTGGACCTGCTGCTGGCCGCTTCAGGCGCAGCGCGGTCTGCGGTGCCAGGACACGCGGGAAGCCTGCCTCCGTACCCTGGCTGCACCGCTGATTGGGAGCTGCCAGAGGTAAGTCCGCAACCTAACCCCATGCCCCAATCTCCAGCCCTGAGTCCCCTCCAAACCTTGAACCCCTTCCTCCACCCCAAGCCCTTCATCCCTGGCCTTAACCCAGAGCCTGCACCCCCACCCAGAGCACTGACCCGCTCCTGCAGCCCAACCCCCTGCCCCAGCCCAGAGCCCCCTCCCACGCCCTGAACCCCTCATTCCTGGCCCCACCCCGCAGCCCTCACCCCCGCAGCCCAACCCTATGCACCAGCCCTGAGCCCCTCCCACACCCCAAACCCCTCATCCTCAGCTCTGTTGGGTCGCGGGCATCAACAATTTTCTTCAACTGGATCCCCAGAAAAAAAGTTTGAAAACCACTGATTTAGACCGCAAGATCATCAGGATAGCAATTGTATATTCAGGCTTTTCTACAACAGAAGGTGCTTTACCTATACTGGTATGAATGCAGTTATGCCAGTATAATTGCTTATAGCAATATATCTCATTCCTATTCAGCAAGAGGAACATAAGGCACATTTATACTCGTATAACAGTATCCATGGTATTGGTTTAAAAAAAAAATCTCCTCCCTTTTATCTCAATGAAGTCATAATTTTGGTACTGTGTAGTAAAGTGTAATAAAATAATAATAAAAGGCTAGGAACTTGTTAGTCACGTGATACTTGAAGTCATGAGGTATTGCTAATTGAAAGGAGAATTTAATAGATTAATAACATCGGTAAGTTAATGAAGCACTGTCAAGGCGTGGAATCTGGCAGTAATGTTTGACATTTGATCACCTCACTGATTCACATTAGAAGCAGGTCTTTGTTGAACACAGCTTGAAAAATTTACCAAACACTTAATGGCCAGAGGACTAAGCCTAGGGACAAAAGGCTGGTGGGAGTTGCCACCAAGGTCTAGAGAGGCATTGTCTGTGGAGATTCTCACTCTTCTCCCCCGGTGCTACTGTCAGTAACTGAAGGGGAGAGTATTGGGATTCCTACCAGAGGTGTTGGCCATGGATACTGCCCTTGAGCTCCTTCTTTCATATCCACTACTGGCTTGTAAGTGTCTGACAAATGTGAAACCCTGGTTAAGGGATGAGAACAATTTGCTCTCTCTTTTTCTTCTCCACTCAGGAGCCTCTCCTACTCTACCCCAACGTGTTGTAAGGAAGGGGTCTCCTATATTGCTCCTCCCCTGACCAACAATTTGTGTCCCCTTTTCCCATTACCTGCCTCTGTTTTTGCTGATAAGTTTCCCAGGCAGAAATGTAGGGTGAAATCAGCAAATCTTTATTCAGTTTCACTGCCACTTTTCAGAATCCTGGGGACATCTGTGAAAATGTCTAGTCTAGATGAATTCAAGGGAAAGCAATGGGGAACAACAACGGCAATAGAACTGTTTTCAGACTCAGAAAGATAACACTGCATCAGTTCATGTTGGAAGATTTAAAAAATTGTCTAGATAAATGGCAACTTAATTTATAGGAAATAATAATAGCTTAATTTCCCTCTTTGCTGGCTAAGAAAAGTTTAACTTCTTGGCACCAGTAAGAGGACTTTTCAAGCTCTTGTAACTTGAGGACAATTTACTTTGCTGTATTGTATGCAGTTGCTCTCTATTTAGAAACTCAGTAATTTAATTTATCAGATGTAAAAAAGTGTTATTTAGTTGAACACAGAATAACAACATTTTCATTCAGGAAACTAGAAGACACAAGAAAACATTGAAGAAAACTCGCAAATTTGTTGTTGACGGAGTAGAAGTGAGTGTGACAACTTCAAAAATAGTTACAGAAAATGATTCAAAAAGTGAAGAATTGAGATTTCTTCGGTGAGTAAAAAATCTCTAAATGACTTTGGAGACTTTTGGTATTCCTTTTCCTTCCTGAATAACACAGGAAGAATCTTTAATGCAAAAGCACTCTGGGGTTTGTTTTTATAGTGCACTGGGATTAAATTTAGATCTTCTTGTTAGCAGAAGGAAAAACCGTTTATTTTAAAATAATGATACAAAAATCCAAGTCTAATCTTACATTTCTTTTTTAAAACTGGTATTATTGAGCCCAAATTGTTGATTTTTTTAAATTATTTTTATCTTTATTCACTTCCTCTCTTCTTTTGCCCCACCAATACTACTGCTCATTATCAGACGTCAAGAGCTGCGGGAGCTAAGACTTCTTCAAAAAGAAGAGCAGAGAGCTCAACAGCAGCTCAGTAATAAACTCCTACAACAACGAGAACAGATGTTCAGACGCTTTGAACAGGAAATGATGGTAAGTTTTTTTTTTTTTTTGTTTTTTTGCACCTACATGATATAAGGCAGCTTTTTATTGAGTGAATTTAGTGCTTTTAAAAGATGCCATATTGATGGAGTAGGTGAACATGGGTAGCAACAGTCTAGGCTTTTCCTGCTGAGGGTACTTCTCTGTAGTTCAGTGTTCATGTTTATTCAGTCCTTGTTCTCTCTACTTAGAGAGATTTTGACAGGTAATCTTGTTGATCTCCCAAACTAATCAAAATGCTCGGAAATAGTGCCTCCTAGTCAGCAGAGGGTGATAAAACCAGTTTTTGGGAGGATATCTTCCCCACTCCATTAATTGGTTTGCTCATTCACATACTTCAGTTGTTTTTGTCTCAGCAAGTGGAGGAACATTTCCTTTACCAGATGTCTAGTTAGTCTGGGCTAAAGCAAAAAGACTCGGCCAGAGATATTCACCAATGTACAGCTGCCTCTGCAGCATGCACTCGAGACCCCAAGAGTATGCAAGCTCCCTCCCTAGCAGCAGGTCAGCCCTTTCGGGAGTGCAGTATGACAAGTTCTACGGGAGCTCTAGGGCCTGGAATTGCTGGTAATGCTAAGTCCTCACACAACCAAAAATTGGAGGATACTTTTGCTTGAATTGTGTGGGAAATGCTAGTTGTGAGGTATCTCAGGAGAGGACCAGCCTATCCTCAGGAAATACCTAGCATGTCCTACCTCCTCTGAGGGCACTGCCTTTGGTTTCCCAAAAGATCCTCTTCTCTGGGACCCTCCAGGAATTTCTCTCCTGCTTCTTGGTCCAGAGAGAAGGAACCTTAGCTGCAACAAGCAGGTGCAGTCCTATCCCTGACCATCTCCAAATCAACTCCAGTCAGTACTGGGCTCTCCTTCAGCCCAGTTCCTGAGTGACTCATCAGAGGAATGAAATAACCGCTGTTAGCGCCCTCTGATCCAGGAGAGTGACTGCAGAAGGTATTCAAACGGTCACTCCAATAATGAAGGTCCTCTAGTCCCCAGGTCCTTCAAAGCTTACTCCTAAGGGAATTCTGCACCAAAAATTTTAAAATTTTGCACACAATATTTTAAAATTCTGCAAATTATATTTATTAAATTAATGTGGAGGCTCCAGCCTGGCATTGGGGAGCACAGGCCACTGGCTGCACAAAGGTGGGAGATCACTGTGTAACTTCCTCCCTGGGACACAGACTCTGCGGCGAGCCTGCACCCAATCCCGACACAGCACAAGGTCTGGGCCTGCCACAGAAACACCCCAGGGTCCTGCCCCTCTGTCTGGGCAGGCAAGCTTAGCAAGGTAGGATACAAGTGTGGAGGGGCTTAATGTGGGGGGATCCAGGTGTGGGATGAGAGGATTCTGTGTGGGGCAATCTGGGTGCAGGCGGCTCAGTGGGGATCCAGTTGCGGGAGGGATCTGGATGCACAGGGGCTTGTTGAAGGGTTCTGTGTGCAATGGTAATGGGACTCTGCAGGGGGGTCCAGGTGAAGGTGGTTGGGCCTCAGCGACGGGGGAGGAGTCTAGGTGTGGGGGGGATAGAGCTCGGCCTCAGCAGCGGGGGAGGAGTCTAGGTGTGGGGGATTCAGTGGGTGGTCCAGATGCTGGGAGAGTGGGGCTCAGTGGGGTGGGGATCCAGATGCAGCTGGTAGGGGCTTGGTGGGGTGGGGATCTGGGTGGCTTGGGGTGGTCCAGGTGCAGGGGGAGTGGGGCTCATCGGGCGAGTTCTGAGTGCGGGGGCGCTGAGGCTTGGTGGGAGGGTCTGGGTATGGGGGGGTCTGGATGCACGGGGTTGGGTGAGTGGGGGAGCAGTTCCATGTACAGGAATCCCTCCCCTTGCAGCTGAAGAGCAATGGGTGCAGGAAGCAGTGGGGTGGTGGGAGTTGGCAGAGCCTGCAGCCGGGGGAGAAATCTGGGGGTAGGTCTGATCCGACCCCGGATGCCATGCAGGGGAAGAGGAAGTCCCGTCCTCCCCAGCCCAGCCGGGACTAGCAGCTGAGCCTGGCACAGGGTAGGAGCCACCAGCCAGGTCTTCCCCAGTCCTGCGTCCTGCCCCACAGTGATTTACCTCTCTGACGGCTGCCCTGGGCACCCAAAACATACTGCTGGGGAGGGTCACATGACCGCTCTTGTGGTTTCCCTTTGCTTCCCAGTCAGAAAGTCATTTTTCTGCGGGGAAGCAAAGAAATCTGCAGGAGACATAAATGCTGCACATGCGCAGTGGCACAGAATTCCCCCAGGAGTAAAAGCTGCTTCTGTGGGGAATCAAAGGAATTGCCTCATCATATATGCACCAGATTAGCTTTTCCCCCACTACATCTAAATCTTCCTTTGCAACACATCAAAGTAGGCTTGCAGGCAGCCAGAACAGAAGACGCAAAAAGGATTCCCTTTCCCACAGGCAACTCCCCCTACCCCTACAAGCATGAGCATGCTCCAGCTTCCTTAAGAAGATAAGTAGCTCCTCCTCCTGCCTCCTACATAGCAGGTCATAGGCCAAGGTAATAGTCACCTTGTAAATACTTACAATAAGATAGATAGCACAGGCCCCCTGCTAGACACACACCATGTTTTGACCTGGAGCTGCTAAATATTCTGTGCTATGCCTCCCATCCTTGCTCTCTCTCATTTTATGCACTTCCATATAAATTATTTCCAGCTTAATGTACTGGCTTTTGGTATGATTTGAGAAGTATTGCCCTCCAGTGGCTAACTGAAGATAAGGAATCTATTATTCACTGAGAGTGATATCTGTTAACTCAAGCATTAGAGGCCTGTATTTTTAGACTGTGATGATTCAGTTCCAGAGGTATGAATGTAAAATTTATATAGTAAATTCTGTTGTGTAATGCTTAAAGATTCGTAACACAAGAGGTCTCCAGGCATTTTTCAGCACTGGCAAGGCATGCTTTGTTCACATTCATTTACATGCATCACAAATTCAAAATTTGGTATACCACAATTTGGAGTTCCCTAGCTAAGGTGAGCAAACATCATTGTTTTGACTGGACAGTTCTGCAGAACTTTCAACTCTCCTGAATTTAACGTCCTAGAAAAATATCAGATGAAATGGAATTATTTTACAGAGTAAAAAGCGGCAGTATGATCAAGAGATTGAAAATCTAGAAAAGCAGCAAAAACAGACAATAGAACGTTTGGAACAGGAACACACAAATCGCTTACGAGATGAAGCAAAACGCATCAAAGCAGAACAGGAGAAGGAATTGTCCAAATTCCAGAACATGTTGAAAAACAAAAAAAAAGAGGTAAGACTCATTGATAATTTAGAAAGTAGGGGGCCTGGCCAAAGGCGAGCATGGTTGGACTCCCTTTATCCCTGCCATAATAACTTCTGGGGGCCATTCACAGCCATTGTAATTTTTTTGTTTTATTGCATACAAAACAACTAACAGACCATTGAAATATTGACTTCTGCAGAAGTCACTGATTGATTAGCACATTTGTATCTTTCATATAATCTTTAAAATTAATACATTTTAATTTTGGTTGATAGCATTCCACAAAACAAAAAAGCCAAATTTCCCTACATTTGTAATTTTAGAATTTAAAAAACAATAATACAGCTTTGGTAACAGTTGAGTCATTATACCTACTGTAAGTTTCCATTTGTTTATTCATTAAGCCCATATTTTATAACTTGTCTGTAAAAGATATAACCCTGGCAGGAGTTCTCTTCTGAGATTTAACTCAATTGGAAAAAAAAATCGACAGCTGAAAAGTTTTATGACTAATTGCAGATCTAAGTTATATAGTGAAACAAGTGAGTGAAGGATGATGCTGAAAGTCTAAACCAGTGGTTCTCAAACTTTTTCTTCGTGGGCCACTTGAAAATTGCTGAGGATCTCGGCAGACCACTTAGTGGTGTTTTTACCGCTAGCTAACTATTGTAAAGTGCTTTGGATAAAAGCACTATATAAAAAGAAGCTTAATAATAATCAATGTTTTTTTGTTCCACAAATAAAAGCGCACAACTCATATTTTAATATCAGTAGTCTTACCTTTCTAATGCAATGGATGTGCCCTCTCTCCTCCACCGCGGCAGTCCCCCGAGCTGGGGCTGGAAAGGAGGGGAGTCTCTCCCCCGTCCCCCATCACAGCAACCCCCGAGCTGGGGCTGGGAAGAAGGGGTCTCTCTCCCCCGCCCACAGCAGCAACAGAGATGAGGCTGGGAAGGAGGGCTGTCTCTCCGCCGCAGCCCTGGAGCTGGAGAAAGTCACCTCTTTCTCTGGCTGCCGCAGCCCTGCACGTCCCAAATTCCCCCTACCCCCTCTTTTCACCCCATAGCCCTCTCCCACTTACCCTCTATTCCCCCCAAGGCCACCACTTCACCTTACATGTGCGTCTTCTCCAGGGACCAGGCACCTAATTAGTGAAGCCATACCTGCGCGGCTCCACTAATTAGGTGGGCGGCCCTTCATTCTCTCGTGTGTGGCCACCCAGGCGCACACCTTAGTGGGATCTATCCGCGGACCACCTGAATGGAGCTCATGGACCACTGGTGGTCCACAGCCCACAGTTTGAGAACCTCTGGTCTAAACTGTTAATTTGCTTGTGTTAGCTCATGAGAAAGTGGTGTATTTACATATAGGTTTTTGTATATGAAGGCTGTATTTTATTTTTAAAACAATTGCATAGTTATAGTTCTGCATATAAGTGAATATAATTTATGCAAAAATAAGAGTAGTTATTAGATTAATATTCATTAATCTAAAAATCTATGGTGCATTATCAGAGCTTTTATGCAGAAGGACCCTGTAGTATGAACATGTTTAGAAAAATATATATTTTATTTCTTTTGAACTGTACACTGGTATGTATTAATCATTTTTTTCTCTTTTGCTGAACTTCTTGCATTTTTGAGTTTCTTTTTACTGGTGATTGGGTCTTATATGGGGAAGCTGGTGGAACTTAATGCTGTATACTGATCTAAAAAAATTTCTTTCTTGGAAACAGGAATAGCATGTGGTGGTTTGGACTCTGATTTCTGATGGGGCTTCCACTATTAAATAAACATTTGTTCTTGGAGGCATACTTTTTTATTTATGGTTCAGTGAGGAGATTTACAGTTTGGAGGAAAATGCAGTCAGAGTTCTAAAACTATCCATGTTATATTGGAGAGTATGGAAAGTATATAATGTTAAAAACTGGCAATATTTAATCTCCACTAAACAAAATCATCAAATCATCATATTCTTAGCAAGTTGCTTTATCAGATAATATTTAGAAATTAGCTCACCATTTTAAAGTGCACTATACTGAAACACATTTTATACAATTTCGGCCTAACTGTAATGCAGAGTTTTTTAAGAATATAATAATTGGTGGGGGTGGCTGTTTCAAAGGTTTACTTTTTAAAACTGAATACTTGCAGCCCTTTTATCTTTAGTGTGCTTATGTGCCTCTTTTATATTTTAAAACATACTGTGTAAGTGTCATTTGTGGTTGAGAATATAGAAATGACATTGTATCAATTTGGATATGAGAGAATGTCAATGAAAGCTGTTTTTCAGTGGAAGTTCCTCTAAACTTCCACTTGTTTCAGATCTGTTACTCTGGGGATAAAAATATTTTATAAAATTTCCTGTACTGTTTAAAGAGACCATTACTATTGCAGGAGGCTTTCTTAATCGATGGCTGTTTAAGTTACTGCATGAAAACACATTAATGAGATAAAGTAATCCATAGGAAGGCATCATTGGTTCTGAGAGCACTTCATTAACATTTGCATGTAAAATCAGATGGGTTTATGGCTCCTTTCTACGCTGCACTTAGACTTGCACAGAGCATGCACTATCTTTTCCTTTTTCACCAAACTAACACCTCTGCATGCTTTCCAGTACCTTAGTGCTTGAACTACACCTCTCATGTTCACAACAAATGCTTGCTGTGGAGAAAAAAATGTTATTTTCCCCACCTTCTGCATGCTTATACACTAGGTTTTTAATGAAGTGGAGAAAGCACCAAAAGAGCTGAGAAAAGAGCTCATGAAACGCAAGAAAGAGGAGCTTGCACAAACCCAGCATGCTCAGGTAACAGCAGCAGCTTCATGCTACTAAAATCCAAAAAGCAGCATTAGTCACACAGCTTAATCATTTCACTTTCTTTTTCAGAGTGACTTTGAAATTTAACTTCTAACCCTTGACAGTTGCTCTGCTCCCTCAAATGCTCCCATAACCCTTTCCATAGAGTACAATGTATAATAAATTATATGCAAACTTACGTTGATATGTTAAAAAAGCTTAACATTCGGAAAGCTGTATTCAGATTAGAAAAATATCTTTATACATCCCGGGAAAACTCATGACATTGCCTTTTCAGCTGATAAGTATCTTGTGTGTCTGCATAATTATAAATGTTAGAGTAGAATGTCAAATATTTTCAGAATATTAAGCATAAAGGAGGAAAATAAGTATATTGAAAGTGTAAAATTAAGAATACTGTTCATGACAGCAGAGCATTTAAAGTAAACTGACTTAATTAAATACCGAAGTGAAATGGAAAGTTGTATGAAAACTTTAGAAGATTGCAAATATAATTCCACACCTTGCACCTTACTGATATTATCTGACAGAGCTGGAAGACAAAAAAAAAAAATATTAAGTGTGTTCTTCCTTTGTGAGGTTTTGAATGTGCTATTCTACCTCTAGTCAAGGTTATATCACAAAAAGGGTTTTGGGATGAATAACTGAAGTAGGATTTAATTATTGTTTACAGGAGTGGAAAAGGTAGTGATGTGATTGGACTATGTTAGTTGTGATTTGACTTTGAGGCGTAGATGTTATATTTTATGGGCATGATGGGTTGAAAACTTTGTACAACTTGAAATAAAGATGGGTGTACACCTGAGCAAAGTTCATAATAAGTAGAGTTTTAGAACTACAAGTTGTCATACTTCTATCAGTGGATTTTAATGGGTTTCCACTACAGCAAAAGCTTTGATAAATAATAAGATATCCTGATTAAGTTAAAAGATCCTAATTTTATGTCATCAAAAAGTACTGTAAGCATAAGAACATCTGCAGAAATTTGATTTCAAATCTGTAAACAGATCAGTTACGTACAAGTACCATTTCTACTGTAAATGATTGTTTGCTCCAACCATCTTCATATTCTCATGGCTGATGTATAGTAGTTTACCATCTTTGAAAGAAAGGAGTTGTTTTTGTTTACATTTTGACCTGGGAAGTATTGTATTGTATTCTGATCCACAGGGCATTGCTCAGGTTATGATTCAATCTTTTCAATTGTCTTCGTGTACACTCTTCAATGCACAAATGCAGGATGTAAGTCCAAAAATACCAAGAAGGGTTTATTTCCCTAATTTTTTCAACTTTGTGTTCTCTCCTGTTTTTTTCTTTGGCTCATATGTGCTGATGAATTTCATTGTCTCAAAAATTGATGAGTGCAAATTTATAAAATTGTATAGTTTAAAAGTTCAAATTGATGCAGTGATTAACTTTGGACAAAACATTGTGTATTTTCTCTCAGAAACAGAAGTAGTAAATAATTTAATGATTTTATCATTTCAGCACCTGTGAGAAATTGAATGCAGTGACTAAATTTTATGTTGTGTGTGCAGTGAAATTTTTACCTTTTGGGAAGTGGCATTTAGTATTTTCTTGCTAAATCGTAGGACAAAAACTTGTTACTACTGTCACAAAGAACTAATGTAACCGCTAAAGAGAAAATTATATTGTGGTCTGCCTCCTACACTAGGCAGCAAAGTTGCCAGTGAAGTTTTTCTCCATAATGTTTATTGCATGTGATGTGATAAAGATTGTGGAAAACATCTTCACTGGTAGCTTGGTAGACCACAGTACACAATCTTTAGTGTGTGTGATGTTTGGTATTGATGTTGGAAGCTGAAAGGACAGAGCTTGTGTTTTTCAGATACATGGCTTAGCTTGCTGTGCTAGCCATTTTAAGAAAACCCTCTTATTTTGACTTCCAGTATAAACAGATCAGAACTATACGTAAGTGATTGAGGGAGGAAAGTCTCTTCCATGATTGCTTTTCTGACCTTGACCACAACTTCTAATGTAATATTTTCCCCAGGGGTTGAAAATGTAAGACAGCATGAAAAAATACCTTGAAAGTCACCTACAGCATGTTTTACACAATGGCACCCCCAGCTATTCGAGTGTACTAAAGCTGAATTTCTAATATATTTCAGTCTTCTTACTCTTTTCATTGAAAAGTAAATAATGTGGAACCCTCTAAAACTGTATTGTCATCAGTCCATTATTCTGTTTTTAATCTGTATCACTGACCCTATCTCTCTGATAATACCCATAACTAGCGTTCTCCCAGATATTTACCAACTTGCTCCTCTTCCAATTTTATACCACCTTCTGCACATCCCATTCACCCGGTACCACAATAGCCTCCAAGTGTACCCACTTCAGTGTACCTACCCGACCCTGGAGAGATGGTTGTGAAAATTGCAGTTCATTGTCCAATGGGACACACACAAGCCTTACTTACTATTTACTGAACTTCTGTGGGAGAGGAAAATCATGTCTCTCTAAACAGTCATTATCAAGTGTGCCTGTAACAGCTTGTTGAGTCCAGATTTCACTGTTCACATCTCTTCTCCATTGAGCTCTGTGAAATATTTGCTGCACTCATCTTACTTTAAAGATCAATAAGATAAAATGTTGCTGCTGCTGCTCAAGCCCATGTATCTCATTTGAGTAGCATCCACTAGCATCCCAGCTGTCTTCCCATCTCTCTCTTCTCTAGAAATCATCTTAAACTTCATTTCTTCCTGTATGAGAACAAATGCTCCTAGCTTTGCAACTTGGCTCATATCAAAGCTGTCAGCAACCTTTCCATTGACCATATATTGGCTCTTTGTCAGTCATACTAAAAATGTCTGCTCTAACCCTCTCGCTATTTGCTAGCATTTGCTAACTACTGTCCTCTATCCATTCAGCCTTTCCACAGCACTGTTCTAGAGAAACTGGTCTTCTCTTACATGTTTCATAGAGTTTAAAGCCAGAAGGGACCATTAGACTATCTAGTCCAGCAGTGGGGAAACTACGGCCCAGGGGCTGCATCCGGCCCTTCAGATGTTTTAATCCGGCCCTGGAGCTCCCGCTGGGGAACAGGGTCTGGGGCTTGGCCCACTCTTGTGCTTCAGCTGGGGAGCGGGGTCAGGGGTTGGCCCCACTCTGCGCGTGTTGTGGCTCCACATGTCCCCCCTCCAGCTCCTACATGTAGGGGCAGCCAGGGGGCTCCGCACACTGCTCCCACCCCAAGCGCAGCCCCCACAGCTGCCATTGGTCGGGAACCATGGCCAATGGGAGCCACAGGGGCTGCACCTGCAGACGGGGCAACGCGCAGAGCCGCCTGGCCACGCCTCTGTATAGGAGCCAATGGGGGGACATGCTGCTGCTTCCGGGAGCTGCTTGAGCTAAGCGCTGCCTGGAGCCTGCACCCCTGCCCCCCTCCCGAGCCCCAACCCCCTGCCCCATCCCTGATCCCTCTCCTGCACTGCAAACCCCTTGGTCTCAGCCCAAAGCACCCTCCTGTACCCCCAACCCCTCATCCCCACTCCAGAGCCCGGACCCTCAGCCAGAGCCCTCAACCCCCCATCCCAACCCCCTTTCCCAGCCTGGAGCCCTCTCTTGCACCCTGAACTCCTCATTTCTGGCCCCACCGCAGAGCCCTAACCCCTTCCCACCCAGGGCCGGCTCTGGCTTTTTGGCCCCCCCAAGC